CATACTGTAGGCGCAAAAAGTAGCCTATAATTAATATAACATACTGTTGTAAATAGTATGTTATATTAATTATAGGCTACTTTTTGGCCATTTTGAGATTTGGTCAGGTTTACGACAATTGGACGAGATCTATTAGTAATAGTATTTGTTTTTATATAACTTTTTGACGTCTCTGACTCAAAAGTATTACTGGTTTTTACCATATTTAATTAAAAGTTTTTAAGCAATAATTAATGAATAGCCAACTGGGCAAAAGTGTGATTCAACACAAAAGTATATACTTTTGGCAAACAATGAATCAAAAACAACACAAACACATGACAAATATGGGCTAATATTCAGCATAAATCATAAAACCTGTTAAAATCTAATCACGAAATACTGTAATTAATTAAATTTTATAGATTATTAAATACAATATACAAAACTATTGCTAAACATTATTATTCACTAGAAATACAAAACTAATCACTATTTGAATGACTTATCATATGTTTATCCATTTCCAAACCCAAATCACTGGTAAACTTGCAGCCCTCGTGTGGGCACCGGTAGTCTTCATAAGCCATATGTTGTCTCAAGTGGTGCATAAGACTTCTATCTTTAATGGTCTGATAGTGACATCCGGGCCAATGGCACCGGAAGTCAACCAAACACTTATGCACTCGTTTTTCGTTGACTTTAAGCGAGTAGTCATAGATATGTTTGTCACATCCGGGCCATTGGCACCGGTATATCACAGCACCCGTATGTATGGCTTTGTGGAGTTTGAAGGACTCCCTAGTCTTACACTTCTCTTCACAACCCATGAAATCGCACGTAAAGGATCTGCCGAGTGATGTTCTTGGGATCAGATCGTCGATGGTATGACTGGATGTGTGGACAATGAAATCATCGCGAGATAACGACTCGAATGGACAGTCAGGGAACCAATACGTGAAAGGTTGGCGTAACCGGTGGACACCCGACTCCATATGTGTACTTAATTGATATCTGAGGGCAAAGTGTGCGGAACAGTCATCGAAGCTACAGAAATAGCGTTTGTTTAAGTGATCTTTGAGATGACCCCTGAGTGCTCCCAGTGATGGGTATGATTTGTCGCAGTCTTGGAATTTGCAGACAAACTCGTAATCAGTTCTCGACTTTTTAGCCACACTTTCGTCGCAATCGTTGTCTATATTATCACTCATTTGACGAGTAGTTAGCGTGGGTTTAGTGTCACTCCATTTGGTCTCAACTATCGGGTGATGGCATATATGGCTCTCTAAGACCTCTTTATCCACGGTCTCGAAGTCACACCGATTGACACAACACCGGAACGCCTGTCCCAACACGTGTTGACCGGACTTTTGGTGAGCATATAAACTATAGACAGACGAGTAGTGTTTGCAGAAGTTGTCGTAATCGCAGTAATATCTGCGGCCCGTATGAGACATCCGGTGCTCATTAAGACACTGAAGACTGACATATGATTTCTTGCAGTCATTGTAATCACAAACATATTTGTTGTTCACTATCTTAACCACCGTTTGCGAGCTATCGGTGTTTAAACAATGGCTCAATTCTTGGCGTTTAAAGCGCTTAATAAATGTCTTAAAAGTTAAATCATTTGATTTGTGGTCCTGTCTGAACCGCGTCAACCACATCAGCAACTGGTCCACCGATTGTCTCATAATTCATATCGTATTCACCGCCGACTTCTGTCTTAATGTCATATTCATTGACCACTACTTCACCACTCAATTCATAGCTGTCTTGAGGTTCAGGTTTTATATTGTCTTCACTTGTGGTCATCAACTGATCCACGGATTCATTGTCCGGCAAAACAAAGCTTTCATTCAATAAATCTATGAATAAATCAAAACTTTTTTAATTCAATTCAAAGTGTATTTCAAATGACTTACCATTTGCTGCAAAATCAGTGATATTTAAGTCATTTTCAACGGAAACCAAACGCGACTTAATGTCACCGAAAGCCTCGATGTCTTGTCGTAGTCTTAAGTGGTACTCATTATCACCGGAAATCTCTTTGATTACCAATAGATCCGTTAAATACTTCTTTGACATCAACTCAAGTCTCTGTAAATCTGTGGCCAAACACTGGACATCGCGTTTCAATTGACATATCTTTGACTGTGTGTACAATTGGCTGCCCATTAGCCACCCATTGTCACCACTAACTGATCCCATGTTTCGCGACACTTATTGTAATAACAATTATGAGACTAAATGTGAATTCAACTCAAATACCGGTAATTATTGTTTGCATCGAAAGTGAATACAAAATATTTGTCACAAAAAACAAACACAAAACACGTGACAAATTGGCGCTACTTTTCAAACACTCATTCACTTATGAAATGATAATTAAATAACAATTAAAAATAATAATTAAATATAATAGAAATAATTATATATAGAGTTAATACAAAAATAATTAATTTAAATAATCATATAATTATTTTCAATGAATACTATTTATTACAGTAAATATAAATACAAACTTAATTAAAATATAATACAAATTAATTAAAATAACATATGGTTTGCAACAAAATGCTATAAAAAATCAATACATCTGTGAATGAGTGAAGACATTGAGACACAAGACATGCCATCAATTCATACGTCTATCCATTGATTGTGTTTTTTGTACTCAATTTTAGCCATCCTTTAGATTTAACCCACAATTGAGTGGACAATGCGTTTGGACAGCAATTTGTTGGTCGCTGTCATCATCTGTTCCCAGCAATGGTTGACATATAGTGTGGCAATAGATCTGCCATCAGATGACGAGTCCATTGTCTTCCCACTACTTATGCCTGATGTTCAGCCAACACAGGTCTGTGTCATCCCTTTCCCTTACATCTCGCATACCTTTCCATATGCCATACGAGTGTCTCATTGAATGTAAGACATCGCCCGCGATATGTCTCATCAGACATTGAATACAGAAAATAAATTAATATTGAATTCAAATATGGTTTTAAACATTTTATTAAAATGTTCCTTGTTTAGCAAATTAACTGTTCAGTATAAATATAAAAACATTTCTATTTAAATTAATGTTTAAACTTGATACTTTAATAAATAACAGTTACAGTAACAGAATTTGTATGCAAAACTAAAACATTAAAAAGTCGTTTAAAATTAATTTGATTAATGATTACCATAATTAAGTCTATTCTAACAAATAGCTATTAACTTACAATTATATTATTATTTGAATATATGTTTACAATTAGATTAAATGTAATATAATTGTTATAATATTGTGTTTTACAGAGAGACCTACCTGTGCACTGCATTCAAAATGCATTCCCGGGACCATCGATACATAGGTAAGCAATCAATTGTAATGAGACACACATTAATTAAGCATGTTTTGTGCCATATTTCATATTCAATACGCTATTGTTTATGTTACGTTGAACAATTAATTAAATTACTAAATATTCAATTGAATTCAATTTAACTATTAATCTCATTCACAATGAATTAGGCGTCCAATGAGAAGCTCATCAATGCGTACGTAACGCCCATTCAAGTGGTGAACACCGATAAAGACTACGTGACACGTGTTGTCAACCAAACCGTGTCTAAAGTATTTGCGTACGAATTAGTGTTTCCCTGGAGTATCATGCTCATATTGGCACAACTTGCCAAAATAAGCTTGCAGATTCACAGTACTTTCAAATTTGATTTTTAATAGCTCTGATTTAATTAGATTTTAACTTAATTAATATATTAGTTGTAGTTAAAAAATCGGTAATTTTTGTCCGGGTGAAACTAATCTCAAGGTTGACAGTCAACCGGGGGACGGGAGATATACCTCAATTCTCCGGTGAAACCGGAAGGTTTGGCACCTTATTTGAAGTATATTTAGTACAATACGACTGAATTGATTGCATATCTGTTGCTATAATAACACAATCTATTTGTGAACAACAATTGCATTCATTTATTACAATACTGTTCAGTAAACTAATAATAAAATTAGTTTTAAATATAATTTATTTAATAAATGATTATTTTTGTAAATTGTGAAAATATTATTAAGCAATAATATACTGTATACCAGTATTGTATATACATAATTATTATGCTATTTTATGTGATTCCTAACAGTATATAAAAACAAATTAATTAGCATTAAATGATAAATAATTGATTATTAATTAATATAAAATAAAGAATTTTTAATACAAATTAAATTTTGTTTTAATTTGATAATGTGCTCAATTTTAGAGAAGTTTAATATTTGTGATAAAATCGATTCAAATATGAAACAAAAAATTAAATTATTTCATGTTTTTAAGTATGACTATTTTGATGCAAAATTTAATGTTTTACATAATATATTGTTCATAACCATCGATGATATGGTCTATGGGTTGGGAGATAATAGGTATGGATGTCTTGGATTGGGTCACAACGTGTCCATACATTCACCACAACTTATACCAGAATTATGTCATCAAAACATTCAGACATTTATTACTGGATTTGACTTTGTGTTGGCTATGGATACTGTGAACCATATCTATAGTTTGGGTCACAATATATGGGGACAGTTGGGTAGAGATGTGACACCAGAAGGGGTTTATTTAAAACCCGAGAGAATATCGAATTTCGACGACAAAGATATCCAACAAATCAGTTGTGGTTCTCATCACTCATTGGCCCTCACATCCAGTGGCCGGGTGTATGGGTGGGGGTGTAATAGTAAGGGACAAATTGGTTGTGGAGAACAAATTAATACTCGTATTAGTGAACCAATTCTAATACAATTTTCAAATAATCCCAAAATTCAATCAATTTATTGCTATAATTGGTTTTCATTTGCCATCACTTGTAAGGGGCTTGTGTTCAGTTGGGGTGACAATAGTGACCATCAATTGGGACACAATATCGTTACAAAAACAATATATATTCCTCATCAGATACATACGATAAATGACATAAAAACTATTAATTACTCACACTATACGACATATTTTCTGTCAAACAATGGCTTCCTATATTTTTGTGGATATTATTATTCAAGTGATACATTTATTACTGTAGAAATACCGAAACAATTAAAAACCAGCAATTATTTTATAGATTTACCACATATTGACTCCAATTGTTATTATAATATAAAACCCACAATTGTGTTGACAAACTGCAAGTTATATCATATAAACGGAAATCAATTGATTGAAACAAAGTATAATAATTTTATTGATTACTACGTAAATGAACACCAAATAACATACAAAACATATCACATTGAAACTGATTATAAACATCGGTTTAATGAATCTTATGATAAATCATTTAATGAGTTGGAGGTCATAGGATCGGGAGGTTTTGGGACAGTATTGCGAGTGAAACACAAATTTGATGGACAGGTATTTGCCGTCAAACGCATTGAAATTAATGGTAATTAAAAACATTTAATTATAAAATAATTTTTAATTTACTTTTATATAAATATTCAGATTTTGATGAAAAAGAAGTGCAAAATCTAATGAATGTTAGATCAGAATATGTGGTCAGATATTATCACTCATGGCTTGAGCCGAGATTTGGTTACATTCAGATGGAGTTGTGTTCACAAAGTCTACGGAATATACTTGAAGTCAAACATAAAGTATTTGAGAGACAAATAGGAGATCCCTTGGATTGTGTCGAGTATTTCATTTCGTGTGAAATATTTCGACAGATCTTAGAATGCGTTCAATACTTGCATGGATTGGATCCACAGATGATTCACAGAGATCTCAAACCCGACAATATATTGATTGTACACAACGTAAGGAACGGTAGATTTGTGAAGTTATGTGACTTCGGTTTGGCTACAGTTCACGACAAACGCATTCACTACAGGACGACACGTAAACATACGGCAGATATCGGTGACATGAGATATATGGCCCCTGAAATTGGTCAGGGTGAAAAATACGGCCTTAAGTCTGATATTTATAGTCTGGGACTAATTGGTGGAGAAATATTTGGTGTGAAAGTCATACTTATTGAACCAAATAAGCTAAGGTAATGTAAAAATTAAAATAACTCAATGTAGTATTTAGTGAAGTCACTGTAATATACCGTGTGTCCATTATGTTACTCGCGGATTGGAGAGCTTATTACTTCAAAACTAAACTAGATTAAACTAAACGTGATTTAAAAGAGGAAAGTATAGCATTTTAATTTTTACATTACCTTAGCTTATTTGGTTCAATAAGTATGACTTTCACACCAAATATTTCTCCACCAAT